CTCATCCTAAAACACAGATCTAACACCTAGTTTACGAGTTGGTAGCTCATATATAATTTGTAAATTATGTTGTACGTCTTTAACTATTTGTAACATTTTGTGTAACTGACATAGTAAAGTACGAAATAAAAATATTATAATTTTATTATTAAATAACTCATAATTCAGAAAAAGGCACGCATGAGAAGAAATACAATTTGAATCAGGGTTTTTTAACCTTTTTTAGTCATGGACCCCCCTGAAAATGTGAAAGAGCCCGCAGGGTCCGCCTTTCCGAAAAGAGAAAAAAAACTAGGTTTAGCTTTTACTAGCTTATACGTTTGCGACTAACTATACTTAATTACATTATGAAAAGTTAGTGTGACGGTTGCTGTTCCATTATCTTATGTAGGTTCGCCACGGACTCCCGGTCTTCATTGCACGGTTCCCTTAGAGGTCCACGGATCACAGTTAAGAAACGCTTATTTAATTATTAATACGAAGACCGAACACTTAGAAAAAAATCCTTCGATCGGCCGGATTCGAACCGATGTCTTCTAGCAAACGAACGAATTTTTCTATGTGCTTGCTTGTCGGATCTTTGTATCTGTTTTTAACGACTTTTTAGCCGTAGCGCCATCTATGAGAAATCTATGAAAGTATTTCATCACCCAGTTAGGCTACTTTACAGCTACCAGCCCTGGCTAGATATGTCGCTATTCACTATAATAAAGTGTTTTGTTGAATGTCAGAATGTTTAATCACCATAATAATAATATTCAATATTTTTTTGTGAAATTACTCCACTAGTTTGTTATAACACTTAGAAAAAAAATGCTTCGATCCGGCCGGATTCGAACAACGGTCTTCTTGCAAACCGTGCCAGACGCTATGCCAACTAAGCCACGGAACACAAAAAATGATTGAATACGGTGGTGGTGAACAGGATGTTTCACACATTCTATAAAACACTTAACCCTTATTTAAATAAAATATCAAATATAATGTAAATCGAAAATATCCAATAACAACACAGCGCATAAGGCACAAATTAAAAGAGACTAGTATCGCGTGATTACTGGAGTACTTTGTCAAATAAGCATTGACATTAGTATAACATAATTATTATGCGTACTTTAGGTGGTTAGAAACAGGACATATGTACCTTCCGTTATGTATAATTTATGACGTTCGCTTTATGGGAATTTTACAACGACATTTTTCTCAGTAATAAAAATTAGTCAACAGATTGTCGTGGTAAGTATAATCAATTTATGCGTATGTGTGTGAAATAACAGTAAATATATTTCTTTAGTGACGGGACGAGCAAATCGTGTGCGTGGTGGCCGAGCATTAAATCGCAAATATTGGTGGGCGCTGCCCGTCACCCTGAGACATAATATGTTGTTAACTCACATGTGCCTATAATTTCACCAGCATACTTACCCTTCAAAACCCGAACATAGTTATGTTTATATTACTTACATTATTAAATAGTTAAGGTAGCAGTACTTCCCTGGACGAACTCTTTCACAAGGAGCACTGCTGTTACTGACAATTAAAATTCTAATAATTATTCTAATTATTATATAATTATTTTAATTTAATATTAATTATAATAAAATTCTGTTATTATAGCGTTAAGAGCTTTGACTTTAATTCCTAAGTTACGCATATAGTATTTATTGCCTGTAAAGAGGCATTAGAATCTCGTGTCGCAAAAATGTTGGCAATTTTAGAGAATACCTGTACCCAGCGGTGGAATACATGCGTCAAAAGGCAAATACTATGTAGTCGGTAAAACGTTGCCATTCTGGAGGACCTGTACTCTCATAAATAAGACTCCGAGGCCGTGAGGTGACAGTGCAAATTAAGATACTTGTAAATATTACTCAACAAAAAAATAGCAGTAAAACTGGCGCCAAATATCCTCTCTGTTAAAACAACACAAGGCCAGGTGAATTGAATAAGTGTCACATACCACGTATAAGAGCAACTCAACTTTCGTATAGTCGTTAATTACATGAAATGAACAAGTCTACCACTGGAGGCGCTACCTTCGCTACATTCGACGAAGACACGTAATTTTTTTTTTCGGCACATGAGTTTTGTTATGAATGGCGTCAAAGGTTTCATTCTTCACCATTCGTCTGCAACTAGCGAATCGCAATGACTATAGTAAATTTCTCCTAATTTCGTAAAGCTAATGTTCAACAATTAGTAAGTAAAAACCCTAAAATTCTGTTACATTGTTTCGTATGACTCAAAACTTTTCTAACTTTTTATCAATAAGTTCAAATAAAATTATGAATATTTCTAACGTTCGCTGAACTGGATTACCCAAAACCTAGTACTCGACAACTGATCCGACTAATTTAAAGTCGGGTTCAGGAACCGTTTTATGGACTGAGAACCAATTCCAAGAAATGTAACTGAAAACAAGTGTCAAAATGCAAATAAAATTATAAGCATTCCAAAAAAAACACTATTAGCATTTTTTTCAGTAGCAGTTCTGAGATCTGAGATGCACAGCCAGTGCCGCCCGTCACCCTGAGATATAAGTGGACAAGTCCCATATGCCTGTAATTTCACCAGCACCCTTACCATTCAAAACCGGAACGCAGCAATTCTAAAATTACTGCTTGGCGACAGAAATAGGCAAGGTCGGACCATAGTCCACGGATTGGGGATTTCTCACATCTTCGAAGGAGATCATCCAGCTGCGTGTTCTTTGGCCGTCCATGTGAATTATAATTTACTCCACTTGTAATAAAGAAATTTCAATAATATATACTAATAAGTAAATTCATCAAAAATAAATTCAATTGTTTGGGCTCTGTGAGACAATCATTTGCCTTTAAAAGGACACATACACTTATTTGCGTAAATTTAAATCAGTTTGATAAAAAAAGTCATAGATTATATAATACCATTACACGTTTATTTTAAAACTTTGCCCAGATATGAAATAATAACACGAGGGACGTTTATAGGTTTATATTATTTTAACCCAAGAACAAAACAATTTAAACTAACCTCCTACCTGTTAGAGAAAAAAAAATAAAGTGACTCATACCAATATTTACAAAATATTCAATTACGTAACTTCGTCATACTAATTTAAAAAAATACTAGTTGTTTAAAATGTTTTTGCGTATAGGTCACGAAAATTTAAAAACTGGGTAACAACCAATTAAGTTTTAACCGGCTTGGGTATCGGTTTAGTTAGAACCGGCTCGAGTACTGGGTCAGTCAGAACCAGTTCTGTTAAAACCGGTTTGGAACTGGTTCCTAAATTTGAAACTTAACAATAGGTATATTCATTCATTTTTTTTGCAAAGTATGAAATCTTATAAAGATGAAATACTGTTTATTGTCACTTAACTATGACCCGAGGTTTACGTGCAAAGATGCGCCGAACTAGGGCTTGCGACTTAAAATAAATTGCACTTTAAGATCCCTGCAGGAATGTACTTTGTGTTTTACTATGACATAGGGTTGACTCAAATCAAAGAATTTAAGTTTTTGTTGTCAAAACTATTACAATACAAACTGTATATTAATAATATTTAAATTTAATGCAAGGCTTAGTTTACCCCCAGAGTAATGGCACTGCAATGACGCAATAATTACAGCTAAGTAATTTTATGTAAAAATCTTCAAGTTCTGGCGACCGACACATTTCATACAATATTAAATGTTTACTACGGTATATATACGGTATATATGTGTTTGTCTTAAAGTGCACTTATGTAAGCTTAATATAGTTGCTACTACATTGTCGCAACTTGATAAATATTGTGTGATATAATAATCAATTCGTATATGGATTTTTTGCAAATTTATATACCACAATAGTTGTAGATTTTTTATTTTTTGTGTAATTAGTAAGTGGATTTATAATTACGCGTAAAATTCCAAACAACTAACATTACCATACCAGATAGTGCAAAAGTTACGAAATAAAGTAATTTAGATGTCGGCAGTAAGTGTCCCTGTCAAGGCAAGGTCGAATAGTATTATATACGTGTGTTATTATACGCATGCGTTTGCAGTGCTTTATGCGTTCGTTAGGGCTATCAAAAAAAAGTGCTCGTATTAATGCTATCTAGTCATAACAACACTACTTGTACGTATCATGCAGGTTCTGATTACGATTCTGCAGATTATGTTTTTAAAGTTTTTTTTTATTTATTGTATTGCTGTTTGTTTTTGTTATATTTTCTTTCAATTTGATTTCTTTGTGATTCTTTTAATCGTTTTATATTGTTGTGTGTGTGATGCAAGACAATAAATGTTTTATCTATCTATCAGATTCTATTCTCGGCACGAGACTCTGAAACTTTTCAAACCCTGAGCAATTCTTTTTCATTTTTCTTTGAACCATGAAGGAAAAGTTCCTCACAAAACCACACGTCAAAGTAATTTTAAACATTTTTAAAGGTATCATATTTTAGGGTTTATCAGACTCCCACGTTAGGTCACACTGTGCAATGGTTCGCGAGAACCTCCAAGATCTCTGTTCTGCAGTGGGACGTGTACAATATTATAGTATACTAATATAATAGTAATAAAAATCATAACAATGTGCCAGACAACCACATACATCTATTGCCTGGTCTCAAACTCAGCAATTCCCTGTGCTATGAGTACCATGCAACGGAATTTACTCTGGGGCATTTCCCAGAACACCCATACCAGAAAAAATTTAGAAAAGTTCATTTCCCACATTAGTCCTAACGGGAATCGATCTCGGAACCTTCTCGCCCAGCGTCCACAGTATAAACCGTTGGGCTACCAAGGTCATCAAAACATTTACTACCAAACACAAAATAATATGTGACTATTAGTATTTTGCACTAAAACTAGAATGGTAAAACTATGATGGTGGCAACCCTACTGGTAACTAAAAGACAGGTGATATGGAAGGTGTAAAGCGCACTATGGTCATTTGCCGGTTATCGACCACATGTAGCGTGTGCCGGCGGAGGCAGACGCGTTTTGAAAATCGAACGGCCGGCCCTCGAATTTCAAAATTAAAAATTAAAATTTATATTTTTTTTGTTCTGTGAACCGAAGTGAAATACGCACATATTTTGAATAATTGTGAAACTTTTATTTAAATTTGGTGTACCTATTCGAATTTCGTGTTGTTTTTGGAAATTTCAAATTTCATTTCTGGGCGGAACTGGGTAAGTCTATATTTCTAAACTGCTTTCTATTCAAATTTACTAAAACAAAAATGGACGTATAATCTTAAATTATTTTTTAAATGAACTTCACAATCACAACAAATAGAACAGAATAAAATAATTTATTGTCAATGTCACTATATTACAATTTAAAATACAAAAACATGTTATTAAAAAAACATCATTTTACTAACTAAAAACACTAGGCTTCGACATTAGAGGTACTAAAATACGGAAATTGGGACTTACAACTAATTATTCAGAAATAACTAACCTGAGAAAAAAATTAAAATGCGATATTAAGTGACAATAATAATATGATCGTAATTTCTTCTTTACATTTTTGTAGAAATTTTTTAAACATAATATTATTGTTTAAATACCAAGACGTCTAACGAGCTAATATACAAAATCTTCGAAGGAAATATTTCTACACTGTAGAATTAATTATCCATGATGAAGAATTCTTAGTAATATATTTTTTAAATGAAGAACACTTAAGATACGTATATAATTATGCCTGTGCCCTAGTGGGGTAGACAGAGATTGCGAACCTTCACTTGCTACGATACGGACACTTCTTTCGCTTCCATATAAAACAAGACATTTAATGTCTTACACTTTTTGACACATCAATTTATAGAAAGTTTCGATTTTGACTATATTTTATTTCTACGCATATAATTAAAATAAAATTAAAAACAATAAATATAAATATGACATAGTACATATCCCATAAATTCGTTTCTCCCTCTTGTTTAAGAAATCTCGTGTCTATCAGTAGCACTTATATATACATAGTATACAGTATATCTTATACATCAACTAACAATTATAATGAAAGTTGCCAGGACCAAACAAAGGACGTCCTGAAGAAAGGCTAGGTCAAAATTACCCTCAATCGAGGAGCATTATGACAAATATGTCAGGATCGTAGCAATGGAAGGCTGTTGTCTCTGCCTACCCCAATGGGAAAAGGGCGAGAAGTACATGTGTATATGTAACATTTAATTATAACTCAGTTATACGACTGTATAATAAATGAACTAGTAACTACTAGAAAAATTTTGTAGCACTAGAGCTCCTTGTGAAAGAGACGACCAGGATAGTACTGCCACCTTACCTATTTGTGCCGCCAAGCAGTAATGTCAGCATTACTGTATTTCGGTTTTGAAGGGCAAGGACGCTGGTGAAATTACAGGCACATTGGACTTGTCAACTTATGTCTCAGGGTGACGGGCGCAGTGTCAGTGCCCCTCAGATCTTTGCGATTTAAAGCACTGAGTGGCACTGCAACTGTTATGGACAGGCGTGTAGCTTACCATCAGGCGCGCGACATGTTCGTTCCGTCACTTGATATTATAAAAAAAATGTATAAATAGTACGCAGGTGAGCCTATAGTGTAAAGCGATTTCATCCAGCTAACTTTAAAACAGAGGATAGTTAATTTGAATTCTTGTCCGTATTCATTTCATGTAACGTCAAATTTTCTAAATTAATGTATCTTTATATTCAGTTTATAAACAAAATTTTTCGAAATTGGAGGTTGGTAAGCAATAACCTGTTAAACAACACGATCATGGTGTTGAGAAAATGACACCTAAAGTATAGTCATTACGATACCGACCTGTATTTTTTAGCCACAGTGACATTGATGCCTTACTTTCTCAAACTCGTATTTTGTAAAGAATGATTATTCAGCAGATGGCAAAACATTGTGTTTAATTAAAATTTCTTATCAAGGGTATTAATTTGGATGCATCGCTTTAAGAACAGGTTAAAACCAGTGTGTCAGTATCAAGGAAAAGTGGTGTCAAATCAGCTTGCAAAATTTGTATATAAAATCCATTTTTTGCATTTCAGTAATTTTTTATTACTTTCTAAGGCGGTTTCAAATCACTTAATTTTCTGTAAAATGTAGACGAGACGATAAGTTATAACTGGGCATTAATATCTCCATTTTTGAGTTTTTGTGTGTTAAAACGTTAATGCTTATCAGCGTCCAATTGATTTTTACCGAGAATCAAATTTAATATGGCCACAACTGGAAAATGAGAACTTTTCATTAGAGAGGTTTAAAGATTCTACAAATGAAATTTGTCGATATCTTTTGCTTAAATAGGAGACTTTTAAAATTTCACATATACATAGTTTTTTTTATAATATCAAGTGACGGGACGAACAAGTCGTAACAAAAAATAAAAAAAATAAAATAAAAAAATAAAAAAATAAAAAATAACAAGCCTGATAGTAAGCTACACGCCTGTCCATAGCAGTTGCAGTGCCACTTAGAGCTTTAAATCGCAAAGATCTGAGGGGCACTGAAGCATAAGTTGAGAAGTCCCATGTGCCTGCAATTTGACCAACACCCCTACCCAAAACCGGAACACAGTAATGCTGACATTACTGCTTGGCAGCAGAAATAGGTAAGGTGGCAGTAATTCCATGGACAAACTCTTTCACAGGGAGCTCTATCTCTCCTTAAAATTTATTTATATAGTTATTTATAGTATATTTTAATATGGTTATTTTTACGTCTTTCGTATGCTCAAATGTGGCTTTTTATACCAAGAACACGAAATATGCGGTGAGTATCTTAATATTTATTTATTAATTTCAATTGAATATTAAAGGGTTTCATTGACACTTTAAGACGTCATTGGCGTATCAGCCAAGTTAATGTAAACGCTTTAAAACGTTCTCGGCGGTCAAAGGCTTGGGTAAAAAACAATAAAACATATACACATATACCCGACAACGTTAGATTGATCTCTAAGTAAATACTTCAGACAAATATACGTGACGTGTTCAATCAACATACAACAAAATCACAACTCATTGTCAGGGATCGGAAAAGGTAGAGTTTTTTACCTAAACATCGTGGAACATAGACAGAAAATAGAGACTGCCTTACAACAATATTTTTTAGGTCCTGGACCTGTTCGGGATTCGGGAAATTACTTAAGTACATGAAAAGTGGTAAGTTGGGACAGGAAGATACACTATAGTTATTTTAACTTTGCGACACAGTGGGTCGGATCAGCGGTATTGCGGACAATGGATTTTTTTTCACGATACCTCTCTCAAAAAAATTCCAATCGAGAGATCTTATTGTCCTAATTAAATATTGTCATATCACACTTTGCCATTCTAATAGTTTAGTAGGAAAAAACTAAAATGTGCATTTTTTGCATGGGACCTTACCTTTAGGGCCCCGTCGTTACAAAGTTAGTCGATCCTGTCTTGGAATCACTACAGACGTATTATTAGACCTATCTTCTATAAATTTGCACACCAAACGCGCGCCCAAACTTGCCTATTCACTATTTATACGCGTCAGAAAATGTGCAATATTTGCCTAATGAGATGCCAGGGACGGATTGCCCTTATTTCGTCTCTATTTCTGATTATACACTCGATGGCATGTTGTCTGTATACACAAAACACACATCAAAAGTGTCCAGGGAAAAAGCACGTTTTTGCCAATTACTGAAAATCAGGTTTTTTAATTTTTTTTAACACCAATAGATTTTTTTAATTTGCAAAAACGTGCTTGGTCCCTAGACACTTTTGACGTATGCCTATATGTTACATTAAATTATTTTTAAAATCCAAACAACCTCGCAGGACTGTTTGTCAAGTTTTTTACTTCTATTTTTATTGGAATCGGTTACCGGAAAGTGCGCCAAATCGAATTCATTTCCTAGTTTGCCATCCTTAAAGGTGAAATATTTTCTTCAAATTTAAATAGAACCAATACTGAGCTACCCTCTTTCCAACAAAATAAAATCATCAAGATCGATTGACACATCAGGTAATCGCGTAACATAAACACAAAAAAACGGTCGAATTGAAAACCTCCTATTCTGAAGTCCGTTAATTTTATTTATTTATTTGTTTATTTATTACATGGACAACAAAACAGATAACAATCAAATTACATTGATACAAATTAGATATGATATAACAAAGTTCTGTACTAGATTGTAACCCTACTTATGTTGACACATCAATCTATAGTAACAAGAAAGAACTACTGTTAAATTTGCTGTTAATTTACTTATTTACTTAATACTAAAGCGTCAAGGAAATGGGTGAAAATCTATACAAGTTGCTTTACTACTCGTCTAAATACTCTGGATCTTGGATCAAAAATATCCAAATCGATGTTTTTCATAGATATCTCGTTGTAAAGCTGACACATTCTTACAAGGAGGTTGTAAAACGAAGTATTATTTCTGTATGTCCGCAAGTAAAACGTCTTGTTGGGTATTCTTGGGTATTTTTATATATTAAAAAATGCAAACTATTAGAATTCATAGGAAATTAAACTATTTTTCCGGATTTTAATCGCCTTCAATCACACACAGTCAACCGTGACCATGGGACCTGTACAAAGGGCCCGAAACGTTGGTTTGTTTGAAAAACCAATTATACGCGATTTAAATCCGGAAAAATAGTTTTATTTCCTATGTGTAACAATCGCGAAAACCTAAGAGCTCGATATATAAGAACTCAAATGAATCACGACGAATCAGTTGTGAAGCAAAATGTCCTCCCGCTGATGTATTTATGTATTTAACCAGTTATTGCCTAAGTCAATACCAGTCTCCTTGACCGAATAGAAATAATTCTACTCGTAAATACAAGCTATAATGTTAGTGCTCGAGTTGAATACTGCGTTCTATTCAGTTTAAGCGACAATTCTAAGTGCGCTTCATACAAATGTAGATCGATTCCATTTTCGTATCCTTGGTATAATAAAGACACATGTGATCATCCGTTAAAAGTGCTTTTATCACATTGATAGTCATAAAAATAAGACAGACTACATTAAATAAAGTACGTATATAAGTTTAATAGAGTTTCTTATGCAAGAGTTCATCCAGGGGTGTATGCTGATATTCAGAATTTGCCATTTACGACGTTTAAAACTATGATGAAACAAAAACTGTGTACTAATAGTACATTATTGCAGAGGCCGGGAAGTAAGGGATTGC